GGGACTCGATCCCAGGACCCTGGGATCATGACCCGAGCCGAAGGCAGACGCTTAACCATCTGAGCCACCCAGGCGCCCCGACCTGAATATTTCTATTAAGATTGTCAGACTTCGAGTATTTCGATTAATAATTCCTATCCATACATGTAAGGAAAAGCCAAAACAAGTTTATGCCAAATTATCAGAAACTACTTAGGTTCCAGATTTGGGGAAATAAATTCTTACATGCAAAGACGTGTAAAATTTGGTTTCAACCTTAACTCCAGCTTATGTTGAGATGAGAGGGGGGCTGGAGGGGCTGGGGTGTATGGGGGAGGGTCCTTAACATTAAGTATTCTTTTTTTTTAAAGATTTTATTTATTTATTTGAGAGAGAGCACATGAAAGGGGGGAGGGTCAGAGGGAGAAGCAGACTCCCTGCTCAGCAGGGAGCCCGATGCAGGACTCGGTCCAGGGACTCCAGGATCATGACCTGAGCCGAAGGCAGTCGCTTAACCAACTGAGCCACCCAGGCGCCCAACATTAAGTATTAATCGTAACTATTTGTAAATGGTGCTAATTTTGTTATATTGGACACAAGTTTGTCTTTGTAATTTTCACTTTGCAGATTTTACTCATGGCATGGGTTCCTTCCTAGTATGATGAACAGTATCCATACCAAATAACAGCACACACCAGGTCAGATGGTTGTAGCAAACACTACTTGACAATGACAACTTAGTTAGATAAAGGTGGATCCACCCATGTAAAGATTTACTTTAAATGTATAAAACAACAAACAGCGGAAACAAAATGTCTTCTCTCTCCACTACCACCTCCCCAGAATACCACTATCTTGTAACACTGAGTAACATATACTCTAAGGAAATTTACTCTTTATTAAAGCAAAATAAATCAGAATGATGGCACCCACTGATTCTGCTCTTGGTAACCCTAATAATGCAGGCTACACGAACACACTTTGTCACGGGGCCAAAGCCCCTCCATCAAGTTTTCCACTTCAATTTCTCTGCCATCCTGACTTGTACACATAGACCACAGAGAAAGAGAAGTCGTCCACCAACAACATAATCCTTCCATCTACAGGGGAAGGCAGTCAGATATTCTAAAAGATTCTCAAGACAGATGTAATCAGAAAGACACTTGCGATTCTATGGCAAATTCAACTGAAGAAACAGAATATTAAAAATATTCTCTTTCAATGACAGGTGCTTGGGATTTGTTTCAAAATACTCCAAGAGGGGGGGAAAAAACTGTGGGGAGATCAACAATATTGGTAAAACACGAAAACCTGTTGAAGCTGGATGAACACACACGGGGTTCAATATCCTAATCTCTACTTTTGCATATGTTTGAAAATTGCCAATGATAAAAAGATAAATATTCTCTCCAACAAAAACACAAACAAGGTATACTCCCCTAAGAACCACTACAATACCACAAGGCTCCTCACCTCTCTAAAGCTATAGTCCAGTAACTGACGATGCCCTTCCCCACTCTGTGCCCAACACAGTCCAACCCCTGGGCCCCTAGCAGCTCCCCCACACGCTGGGGGACCCCAAATCCAATCTCAGCAGATAAACTGCCTGCACCAGCCATTTCCCTTCAAAACACCAAATGTCCCATGAAATAACAGGCGTCTTCTTCACCTTGAGATGGACTCCGATATAACATCTGAGAACATTTATTTACCTACTTAAACCAACATGAGATGAATTTTTTAAACTCCTCCCTAAGTCCTCACAAATGAAATCATACAACCAGCCACAACAAAGATAACAAAAATAAGCTCCAATTCACATCAAATTGAATAATTTGAGAACAGGCTGTAGGAGATGACCTCAGTGTGGGTGACTGGGACAATTTTAAGAAATAACTTCAATGTCGAAAATGTAAATATCCTACTGTTACCTTCCAGCGGGCAGATATTCCAACTAATCCAGGAAAAAATGGCCCTGAGAACTTTCCAGCAAAATATGAAACACATCACTTGAGTTGCATGGAAATTAAGCAATCAAAGCAATGAAGAGGAAAAACACTTTCACTTCCAAACGTTTTAAGAAACGAGAATACTTACCAGCACTTTGTTTTCAACTTTGTCTCCCTTAACTTCCAACTTTACTTTCTTCTTCACTGCAATTTTTATCTTTCTGCCAATAACATCCTTTATGCTTTCTGAAAGAAGGAAAGAGTTTCATTATATTCTTTTATTAATAAGAAAAAAACACTGGAGAGGGGAGAACATTTGAAGGAGTATTTTTGGTTGTTTTTATTATTGTGATTTGTCTTTTTTTTTTTTTTAGCTTGTTTTAACAGGCCTGATAGTTATCAGTCACCCCATAGTTTATGATCACCTACTATGTGCGTTGTACTGTGTGCTCAGATGCGGAGGCAAATATAAAAGCATATGACTTACTACCAGTTCATACAAGGCACGATATAATCTCGCTGGGCAAATGGATGCACACACAAGAAAAAACACGAGCAACGCCAGGAAGGTTCATGGAGGCCTGTGTTGCATGCAGACCATAAGCACAATGGGAATTCATAAACTCCCTTGGCTGGTTACCTCTGGCCCCTAGCAGCCTCTGTGTTCATCACAGAAAATATTACCATTTTCTAGGAGTGCCTGACATCACAGTTGGGAAATATGGCAAAGAACCAGAACCAGACTGGACAATTTGGCCAGGGAAGGGTGATCCTGGCCATCTGTCCCTCCGAAGACATCACAGCACGACACCCCCAAAGAGTGGTCAAAGGCAACAAGAAAGAGGAACCAAGAGAGACGGGGAGACTTCAAAATCTAGATGGTGGCAGGAACTACTCCAGGGAGTGCTCCAAATGGAAAAGGCCCTAAATCAAACTCACTCTCCTCCCCACTCCTCTGGCCACTAACGAAGCTAGAAATTTTGTTTCCTATCAGATAGAAAGCCAGTCACCCACTCTCCTAGAACTACCTCCTAAACAGCTCCGAACTCCCCTGGGCTTGACCCCTGCATTCAAGGGCTCAGAATCTCTCCCCAAGACAAGTCCATGATGCCCCACTTATCAGCTCTCTGTCCCTCCCTCACCAAAGGGACCCTCCAAAAACCACAAGTCTGATCACATAACTCTTGCTCTATGAGTTGCTGTCATTTTTGGATAAACCCCAACCCACTAGCAGGCCACTCAAGGTCTTCCACAGTTTTTTCAGTTTAACTTCTCAACACACACACTTAACAATCCAATCATCTTCATCATCTCCATCTTGTACACCCCCAGGATTCTGTACGTACTATTCTCTTTCCTGGGATGCCTTTCCCTAGTCTCGTCCTGGTTACGTTCTACTTCCAAATATAGCAACCTCGGGTGCCTGGGTGGCTCAGTCGGTTAAGCATCTGCCTTCGGCTCAGGTCATGATCCCAAGGTCTTGGGATGGAGCCCCATGTCAGGCTTGCTCCCTGCTCAGCAGGGAGCCTGCTTCTCCTTCTCCCTCTGTCTGCCGCTCCCCCTGCTTGTGCTCTCTCCCACTCTTGCTCTCTGTCAAACGAATAAATAAAATCTTTAAATAAATATGTATATATGGAAACCTCCTCTATACTTCCAAAGCTCTGTATTCTATATTATAATCATCTTGGTTTATTCATATATTCAACAACTATATGGACACAGGAGGAGCTCCTGTATGCCAAGTGTTGGACTAGGTGCTGAGACACAAACAGCCTCTGCCTTTCACAGGTGCTTACGACCTAGAGAACACAGATAAATGCCTCTAGGCAAATCCACACTCACTACCAAGAGATCATGGACAAGGAGATTCCCGAAAGTTTCAGGGAGGAAGGGAACCCTGAGCAGAATCTTAAAGGAGTAGGACACAGACCACTAGTCCAAAGTACAGTGTACAATATAACCCACCGAGGTGGAGGAAGAAAATATAATTTTTACTTCTATTTGCGATGTACTCCAGTTTGTTTTAAATTATAAATGAAGTATATATGTAGTTAAGTAAATAAATATGTTTTCGAAGGGGTAATCAAATATTCTTATTGGAAACCCACTGCTAAGTTAGGTAAGAGTGAAGAAGGAGAAGGAAGAGCGTCGCCCACATGGAGAAGAGAATGGAAACAAGAGAAAGTGCAGCTTGTGGGGGGGACCAGCAACCAGGTGGGACGTTTTGGTAAGAAAGGGGACAAGTGGGGGACCTCACTGCCCTGGGAGTTCTCTATGCAGCTCCTATCTTATCAGAGCTCAAAACAGATAAAGGCTACTCCTCCCCCCACCCAGCCTTAAAAAGGCATGTGGGAAAGGAACATCAGAAACAGACTTAAGAGGGGCGCCTGGATGGTGCAGTCGGCTGAACCCCCCCACTCTTGGTTTTGGCTCGGGTGGGGTCGAGATCTCGAGTGGCAGGATCAGCCCCGTGTCAGGTTCTGCACTGGATGTGGAGTGTGCTTGGGATTCTCTCTCCCTCTCCCTCTGCCTCTCCCCCTCGTGCTTTTTCTCTCTAGAATAAATAAATTTTTGGAAAAAAAAATAAGAACATACACACGTGGAACAGGACTGGAAAGTTATACACCAAAAGGTTAAAAGTGGCTTTCTCAGGGAGGTAATACGGTTGACAGATAGTCTTCTCATTCTTCTTAGCGTTTAAAATTTTTTTATAAAAACCTGTATTTCTTTCATTAGAGATACGCAAGGCATTTTTTTACCGTCTTCGGGGATTAGCTTAAGGGAATACACTGAGGTTTTCACATGGTTGCCATTTTGAATTGATCTGAGTGTAACTGTGAGCACTTGAAATTAGAGAAAAGCAGGTGCAGGAATTTCCCCTGTCCCAGACTAATTAGGCCATTTAAAGGCTCAGAAAAATCATACTGGGCATGTCACAAAAGCCATGTGTCACTTGGTTGAAGGATATGTGAGCTGGGCAAGACTCAATAAACACACAAATTCCATGTCTAGATAAGGATTAAATCGACTTTTCAAACATACCAAAGAATTTATTTTGAGAACCATTCACATAAACCAGGTATCTTATTTCCATCCCTCCCCTCTCTCTTTTTTTTTTTTAAAGATTTTATTTATTTATATGACAGAGAGAGACAGCGAGAACAGGAACACAAGCAGGGGGAGTGGGAGAGGGAGAAGCAGGCTTCCCGCTGAGCAGGGAGCCCGATGCGGGACTCGATCCCAGGACCCTGGGATCATGACCTGAGCCAAAGGCAGACGCTTAACGACTGAGCCACCCAGGCGCCCCCATCCCTCCCCTCTCTCTTGAGTCTGAGTAACTACCTAACTTTTCATTACCAGGCTCAAGGTCAACTAACTTAAAAATCTGCCCACGTCTTTGGCCATCCTTCTCCCCTGGCCAGGGAGGCCAGCCCTCCCCCTAAACTTTCTCAGGACCTCAGGAGGCATCTGCAGAGACTCTGGGCGTTCTTTCCTCTTCCGGGTAGGGTGCTGGAAAGACCTCAGCCTCCCAGAACCGGATGGGCCACTCACTCTAGCAAAGGCAGCTGATGCTTTATCTCAGCAGCCGACTCCACAGGGTTGGGGAGAGAGAAGAGGCCAGAGTGGGGGAAGGGGGCAGTTAACTTCATATCCTAAATTTGGGTGAAAAGTAAGGATTGGGTTTTTTTGGTGTTTTTTTTTTTAAACAAAAGCTGAAGCTTTCATACAAACCTAGCAACAGCTTCTTCACATCAAGTGTCACCTGCTGAGTTAGGTACTAATGGAAGAGCACACACAACTCTTCCAAAGTGTTATGACTAAGAGGAGAAACCAAGGGGCAAATTTCTCAGGGGCAGATGAATGGGCAGGCAGAACTTCCTCTTGCTGTCAGCCCCGATCACACAGCATCTTTCTGTGTGTGTGCCAAGCATGGTACAGTAAGGAATACAGGTCCCTAGGGCTCAAAACACGCGCGCAGAGACACACCTAAATACAACGTGTTCTACATACACACACGCTTAAACGCTGGGTTTTCGGAACACTCATCCCCGCCTCATTTTAACTCTGCCATTTTAACCCTCCACATAATTAAGTTAAACCCCAAGACATAAAATCCAGCCCAACCACCCCCCCACACACACACACCAAAAAACAAACAAACAAAACAAAACATAAAAAACCTCAAGGGACTCAAACAACGGGTCACCTTGCACACTGGTTCCCTGAGCTGCGGGATGGGGAGAATCGGTAGGTTAATTATTATCAAAATAAGCTTGTACCATTAACCCTCAGTTTCCCGGCCCGAGCATGCGTCACTCCTGCAACCCTTTCGCTCCCCGCCGGCTGGGCGAAGCCAAGCCTCGCCCGGCTCAGGCGGCACCCCAGACTAGCGCCCCCTCCCCCGAGGCCGCGTGTGGGAGGAGCACCTCGCCGGGGGGCGGGGAGGAGCACCTCGCCGGGGGGCGGGGGGGAGGGGGATGGTTGCGGCCCGGCAGGTGCCGGAATCTACCCACTGGGCGCTCGCCCCCTGGCCCCGCGCTGCCCTTTCCCGGACTTCCCCGAGTTTGGGGAGGTGGGCTGGTCGCTGTACAGGGTGCTCCTCGCTTCCAGAACTCCCAAGCCCGAGGCAGCCCGCCCCCCTCTTCCGCCCACCGCGACCTCCCCCCCACTCCGGTCTCGGCTGGGGAGGCGCCCGGACTCCCGGGCCCCCGCTGCCCCCCATGGCCGCCCTCCCCGGACTGGGCTTTCCAGGCTGCGAGACGCGAGCAAAGTTCCCGGCGCCCCGCCCAGCACGCAGGCGACCTGAGGGGCGCCGCGACTTCGCGGGACCTGCGGGAAGGCGGGGGAGGGCAGGGGGCGACGGGGAGGGGTGCGCAGGGGCAGGCGGCGAGCCCGCGGCCGCGCCACTCTTACCTGTCAGCTCCCTGGGAACCTCGGAGCTCTCCTCGGTCATGGTGGCCCTCCAGGCGCGGGGGCAGTGCCGGTCCAACTCTGATTTATGGCCCCCCGCCCTCCCCCGAGCCCCTCAATTTTTAGAGGCAGATGCAGCTTGCGCACGGGAGTAGGCAAGAAAGCGAGGGCGGAGATGCAATTTTGCCGCGCCCCCCGCCCCTCAAAAAAAAAAAAAAAGAGTTGCAAATACGAGGTGGTTCTGCTGCGGCCGCTGCTACATGTCGCCTCCCCGCAGTTCCCGGCGGCGGAACGGAGACCCGGGGATTCCGCGCGGACGCGCGCGGCGGCGGCTCCCGGCTCGCGGCGGCGGCTCCCGGCTCCCG